AACCACATGCGCGGGCGCGTACACTTTTGTTAAGTATGTGTGATCTACTATTGAATAAGATTTTTATTAAGTAGCAAAAAATCATCTATTACAGGTGTAACATTATCGTCACTTATATCATTACAAGTTGCAGGTCGAGTTATGACTAAAAATACAAAATTTTTCCATCTCTTTTTAGCATTAAAATATTTTTAAAAAAATCGTCATTTAAAAAAGAGCTAGAAGCAAAAAAAATGTCAATAAAATTATAAGACATGCACAGTGAATTGTAAAAGAAAAATAACAATTGTAAAAGTGCAAGATGGATAGATGTGCAATGGAGTATTGACGTTTTCCCGAAGAGTCACTTCATGTAGATTTCCTCGTTTTATAGTCTGAACGACAATGTCCGTGGGATATGAATCGAAAATATATGCCCGAGCGACTGCTTAGAACACGGAAATAGTGGGCAGTCGCGTCAGTAGCCTACACTCTATATGCTGCTCTACTTGCCGTTACGCAAGACACTTTCGAGATCTACTTAGTTCTAGAAATAAAACGGTGCATACGATCGTCTGATATTTGTACAAAAATCTAATAAATCTATTGTCATTTTATAATACTATTATCGAATATTTATGAATTATCTGTATCCAATTGACAGATTACATAATTAAAAAGCTGCATTGAAAAAAAAAAATGAATATTCTGTTTTCAGACTTGAATGATTTTACTTGAAGACTGAAGGAGTATTTCCAATATAATAATCGTTTATCCTTTGAGAAAGAGAGACACCTGTAAATTGAAACAAATTTGACGCTTCAATGGGCAACCTCATTTACAACGGTTTGAAATTTCGCTGAAATGACGTTTTTAGATGTCATATATTTGAATGCGATTTCGTCTCTATAAGAAAAAACTTAAAGAATATACTATTGAAGATGAAATCGATAAATGCTAGTCTGCCCAATATTATCAAGTTGTCAATATTGAAGATACAGAAAATGAAAACCAAGCATTTTGTACGGTCTAGGGGACTCATTAATGAGAGAACTGAAATAAAAATAAAATTTAAACTTAACAGATAGCTGAGAATTACTATAAATTAGTATTATATTTTTTAAATTGTTTAAGAGTAAAATTTATGAATAATAAATATTTCAAGGAAGTTGGAGTAGACATAACGTTTAATATGTAATATACTAGTTCATTAATATTATCTTTTCTTATAAATTTCAATTGCTTATTTTTTATATTATATAAAAGAACAATGATTTTTATCGTTAGGTAGAATATTGTAAATAAAATATCCTATTTCTCACATATCCTGGGTTATATAAAAAGTGTAACAATACCGTATTATAGTCTTACTTTAATTTTAATTTTTTTTGCCAAATGTAAAAGTCCATCGAAAGTGTAGTGAAACGAATCAATAAAACGATTCCACGCTCCTGAAATATATTTCATAATGAATTTGACAGTCTTCATGGGTTTCACCCAAAGTAAAAAACCAGAAGCAATAGGCGAAAAATTTTTTTGCCATTAGTTATTCATTATTTAAAATTATTCTGACGTTGGTTAAAATTTCTTTTTAATTTAGTCGAGGGCAATCGTAGATTAATTGATGAAAAAATCAATGTTGAATAACCAGAAACACCAGAATTATTGCTTCAATGAGATATCGTATTCACTGTCAAATGGTTGTAAAAAAAAAAACATTAGTAGTCTGACTCAGAGTTGAATGCATCCACTGTAAATGTATATGGTATATGCTGCCTACTCAATTACCGGATTTTTTATCGATAATTTTGTACCATTCTTACGATGTTCATTCAAATACATTAAAACTTTATTTTTACTATTATCATTATTATGATAAACTCATAAGAAACTTAAAGATGGAATAACTTTTCCATTAAATTGACTTCTATTCCAACTTTGTTTAATCTTAAGACTTTTTTTCATTAATAAAATGTAGAGAGCGAAAAAAATGTGATTGATTTAAAATTTATGAACCAAGAGATAGAAGTTTATTGTGGTGATATCCAGTATGAATTTTTATAAAACATTTAGCTTAGTTAAAAAATATTTAATGATTTAAAATAAATCCGTTATTATTGAGTGAACTCGAAATAAAGTCGAACAACGAAAAATTCTTTTGCGGCAACTTTATAATTCCTGATTCAGTAGTATTAATTATTAGATATTCACGATTTCATTTAAATAAAAATTCATCCCACCATGAAAGATAATGAATAGAATCCACGTATAATAAAAACTTAATTAAGAGTAATAAAAGTGTAACAATAGAACGTATTAATAATTCATTAATCTCTATTAGATAATTGATCATAATACACGAATGCAATAGCACGATAATTTATTTACCATGTAATCATATTAGAATGTCATTGTATGAAAGTGAAAAAGATGGAAAATAATAAAATGTTCATTTGAAACTTGGATCAAAATAAATTTCATATATTAACCGGTACTTCCTCGTTGACCTTAAAAAATTATAGAGGTGAAGGAAAAATTCAAGTACCACGATTCAGTTGGAACTTTCGCTAAACTTCCGCCTACGCACGTGTCACCGCATTTAACTGTACTGTGAGAATCAGTTGCCAATACTCGTGCTATCAGTTAATTTCATCTCCACAAGATAATAGATAATGAAATGCAACCTGCTAATGGACGAAAAAAAAATATATAATCAATGTGAAAATTTATAAATGAGTACATCGCGTTATTAAACTGGTTAGAATCAGTTGTAATGAATCAAACGAAATAGATAAGGAATAGTAAAAATAGCTAGAGAAGAAATGAGTGCATTACTCATTGAGATAAGATAATCAGAAGTGATAAATAGTACAGAAAAAATGTTTTTTCTCTTCGCAAATTGGTGTCTACGAAAATGACGACGAAAGATTCTAATCAGGATGTTATCAATTAAAAATGATAGACCTAAATAATCACGAATAACTATTTTGTAATTTATCACGATTTAACTATATACTTTTGTAATATAATTGAATCACGCACAGTAGTTATACACTGTACTTTGGGGTGAAGGCAAATGGGAAACTCAACAACGCGACACGGTAGCTTATATTCAAACCGGTCAGGGCCGAACGAAAAAGATTCGCATGAACCAAGTAGTCGTTGCTGTCGTAGCCGCTCACGCCGATTGGACGCCGATGCATTTTTTCTTTACTATCGAATAATGGCTTTCACTTTCTACGATATGATCGAGGAAAAAATTTTACATATAACTACTTTCACGAAAAATTTAACCGGAGGTCGAATTGTATTTTTTTAAATCATATTCCCATATTGTCTAGCACATTCATCAACTATGAAGTGCATGTCCCCCCAAAAAAAATCACCTTCAATCGAATACATCGTTCCATGTCCTAATAGACAGGAACTCGTAGATATAATTTGAAAAATACTATCCTTTATTAATAAAAAAAAAAATCAAACGTTCTCATTTTAGTCAGACAGTAATCGATAAAAATTTTTCATTAGTATTTTTATTGAAAATTTATAGAGGGACAATATTTTATTTGAACAATGTCGATAAATATCGGTGTTGGGAAATAATTGGTTTTGTAGAAAAAATATAAATTTTTTTCTGGTAAAGGTTATCAATATTTTATATATGATAATATTAGAAAAAATAAGATGTAAAGAGTGTATAGGTGTGTAGGTATTGACATAAAAAAAGGGAACAGATCGTAGCCGAGGGTAATTCACATCACTTGATGTGGGAAACTACCCTCTGGCAATTGAATAAAATTGATAGGTTGAGATAATCGCGTTCTGACTGACAGTAAACAATCTACTCTCAACAGAATTCAGGTCTCAATAAGTCTAGACTATTACGCTTAATTCAAGCGCGTCGACATTGTCAACTTTTTTATCGTTTCTGCGGTCTCTTGATGCACTAAAATCCTTCAATGTTCACACATCAATGAATATGCGGGCATCCCTCAATCATTCAGATCATTACTTTAACAGAGTGAACAAATTATCTGACCAATGAATGCTTTCTTGTTTCAAATTAATTAAAATATATGAAAAGGAAAATTTTCAGTTCAATAAAAGAAAGAAAGAGAAAGAAGAAAAAATGATGAGAGATCAAAAGCAATGAAAAGAAGGAATCAAAGACAGAGTTCGAATAATTTTACGAGTGGCTACTTAACGACTCTTATTCACTTGAACGTTGCGCCCACTTGTTCAAGGAGCCTTAGGGTAATAAATCTCAGTTACGATAACACCGAATATCTGGCCACCTAACCATTTTATCGAAATCTGCACTCTCAGCATCTTAGACGACACTCTTCAAGCTGTATCAGCTGCACGTAACTTGGTCATAGCATTTAGGAAAACTAAATTTAATAAAGGCTCTTATAGCAAGTAATTATCGTCCTTGACCCAATACTTAGTTGCATTTCAAATGATCTTAAATAGTAGCTAACATTTACTTTTCACTCTAAGTAACGTATGTTTAATCTATAGGTATAGCAAATTCCTACAACAATTGCTAATAAATTGCCCTGCAGCTGAGATCAATGCAATGAATGAAAAAAAAAAGTATCCTGTAAAATAATGGGAACTCAGTAGAAACAATGGTTCTACAATTAGACTATTGGAAAGACACAATTACAAGAGACACAATGGTATCATTTTCAATGATTCCACCTGTTCAAAATGAATCCTTAGAATAGATGATTATTTGGTGTCATACTAACGTACCACACCCGCAAGAATATCGTAGGTGACCAGGTAACCCGGTACCTGGTGCACTTGGTACGGTGTTCTCGGGTTTTCTCGTGGGGGAGAGAAAGAGGAGGCGACGTTGCGAAGTGCGAGGGCAGGGGAGAAATAACTTTACCGAGACGAAGCAGTGGCTGGCCTATCTAGAAGTCCACCCCGTGCGTCACTTTCCCCCTTTCCACTCAAGACAACCATCGGCAACTGAGGATTATAGTTTTTCTTGGGGGAGAGGAGGGTGGAGGTGCACGGCTTTCGAAAGGATGGTGATTGTGGAGCGTGGTCAGAGTAGACTTAGGCGTATATAAGGACCGCCGACCCAGCCCAAGTCAGTCATTCACCGGACTACCAACCCACCATACACACATCAAACATGAAGACCTTTGTGAGTATTTGGGTGGTCACAGAGCTTTTTACTAAAAGTCTTTTGTCCAATTATTCATACTCTACTTTCACTGTCTAAATTTCTTGCTATTTCAATTACAATTCATTCTTTTTTTCACTTGAATATATTAATACTTTATAAAATATCATTTTTTCATAACTCTTAGATTATTTTTCATTGAATATTTCGTTTTAATACATTAACATTTTTCATTATTTTGTCTGATAATTGTTCTAAAATATTTAAATTCTTTGCAACAAATATTTTTAACTGCAATCATTATTTGATTTTCAACAAAGAAAAATAACCAGGAGTAATATATCTAACCGTCATACATTAACACTTATTTTATTCAACTCACTAGTTCTCTAACATCACCTTCTTATTTTCTATCATCAATCACGATCAATTACTCGGCACTTTTTTAATTACAATTTCAAAGTCATAAACGAAACCATGATTCGAATTTTATAGTAAAATTTCGCATAAATTTTTTAGTTTTCTTACAACTCGTTAAATTAAATCGCGATCTATTTAATTGAATATATTCAAAGAGGTCTTGATAAACGTGAAAGCAAGTTTAAAATATATAATTTACTGTTCCACTGTCGTCTCACTGTAACTTCTCGCAAGTCGACCGTGACAGTCTCTCATACGCATTTCCCTACTTAGAACGCACACATTAATATATTGCTTTTATTTGCTGACGGTATTAAACTGATTTACTTTTCGAGAAATTTGAACTTAAAACAATGAATTTCGTAAAATGAAATCATTAATTGGTAAAATTAGTCGGAATTTAGAAAATATTTTTAAACGGCTAATCAATTACGAATTTGCAGACTACAGACGATTACGTTGTCACTAATCAACCTAGTTTTTCTCGGTACTTGTCTAACGCAATGGGCCAGGAAGAATTTTTAGCCTAATACGGATTCGGACAATCCGGTCAACGATGCTGTAGACTATGTGAAAATGCAATCGGGTTTATACTATCACTCCAATTATGAAACGTAACCGCATCATGCACGTTGTATAAATTTTCACTGGTACTTACTCTAGCTCATTACGCCTTTTATGACATAACGACTTGAGTTGGCAATTCCGCGTCGATAAAATTTAAAGGACAAACGTAATTTACTGAACACATTTGAAATTTCACGAAGATAATGATAGTTAAATTCTTGAGTCAAGCAATATAATTATCGATAGAATATTTTAGCATTTGTTGTGTTGAGTCTTTCTAACTTAGTTTCCTCAAACACGCCGGATATTATTCGTAACACACTATTGCTACACATCAAAAGTGAAAGCTGAATGGTTATGCACCACCCGAGCCTCGAGAGTAGTAAGCGTTAGACCATAATCGGTTGTTTGCGCGCTCAAGACTTACGACGTTACGTCTATGATACCTTCACAGCTTCCTGTAATCAGATCGGACATTCTGAATTGTTACTTCAAGTACTAGAAAGTTATCGTTACTCATTAAAGTTAATAAATAACTGATTGGAAAGGAAATCGGCTGAATTAATATCGCGTGTGTAATATTTATGGAAAGTGTTGAATAAAAAAGATATTTTCTATAATTCTGCAGATTGTGTTCGCCTGCTTGGCCGTGGCAGCAGCCCGTGCCGGAATCGCTCACGGAGGCTACGGTGGTTACGGCCACGGAGGCTACGGAGGCGGTTATGGATTCGCCGGACACGGAGGAGCCGGACTTAGCGGTGGTCTTGCCGCTGGTGCCGGAACTGCTCACTCTCTCCAGGGTGGAGCTTCCAGCTTGGGATCTGGCGGTCTTGGTGCCAGCTATGCCGCTGGTGCTGCCGCTGCTGCTGGAGCTGCTGGAGTTCAACAAATTGTTTCTGGAGGAGTTGCCGGTGGCAGGTCAGACATTGGACCCGCTGAAGGACCCAAGGCTAACGTAGGACCACAAAGTGGACCATCTGACCTCGTTGGACCCCAAGAAGGAGCCAAATCCGTAGGAGGACCCCGTACCGGACCATCCAGTCTTGTTGGACCTGCTGCTGGCCCATCCACCCTTGTAGGACCATCCCAAGGAACTGCCACCCTTGTTGGACCATCCCAAGCTACCGCTAGCCTTGTCGGACCAAGCTACGGAGGTGTTGCCTTCTACGCTGGATCCGGTGGAATCAACGGTGACGATGGAAGCTCTGGCTCTGCTGCTGCTGCCGCTCCCGGTGGTGCTTTCGGAGCTGGTCTTGGAGGTGCCGGTGTGTATCATCTCAATCATCTGAGAATACCAATTGTTTATAATGATAAATTATTAATAAAAAATTAATTAAACAGGTCTTGGTGGACTCCGAGGTGGTGCTGGTGCCATTGCCGTCATCGGAGGTGGTCCAGGAATCGCTGGAGGTATTGGCGGACATGATGCCGGTGTTGCCGTAATCAACGGACCATCTGGCGCCATCCACGCCGGTCTTGGCTCTCACGGAGCTATCATCCCCGCCGGTCACGGAGGACACTGGTAAGACGTTAAGGACCCCAGCGATCTCGGCTCGGCGACGGCGGCAAACTCACCACAACCATACCGATCAACTAATCCTCTGCGCGTACATCTTCCCAAAGCTTCATACAATCTTGGAGCACGGCAACCAAGGAATAGTCATACGAACATTCAGTCAATAGTGAGATAAGTCAGCCAAATCAATCTACAACAGCACCGCTACAATCCAAGCCGATTCATGTCATTCATCAAAAACATCGTCAACATTTATTACTTCAATCAAAACAACTAGCAGCATGAGGACATCTGGATCGGTATCGGCTGAGTGGATAAGCTTTGGCGCATCACCACCAACTGAGATCCGTTCTGTTTTGTTGAACATCCACGTTGGGACTAGCCCTTGACTTACATCCATCAACATCTAAAGGCCGATGCACTCACTTACATAGACTATCCTTTGAAGAGACCGCTGCCTAAAAAACAGTTGTCTTATAGTTGTAATACTCACTGCCGCACCTAAGCATACATATTTTTTATTACATATTCGTCATGTCTTCTTATTTTTTATATATATATATAATGTATCTATATATATATATAATTCTACCCACTATTTCTCTTCTACTTTTTATATACATACATACATATATATAGATATATACACACAAGCGCGCATCATGTTTAACTACGTATACCATATATGCAGATGTATGTCTGTGTAATGTAGCAAAGGAGACCGGTGATTGTGGTAGGTCAGCCGTTCCTGTGAGTGAATCAATGTATATAGATGGCACGCCGTTGCCGGCCCTCGACCCCGCCCGCCCTCGTCATACCCGTTCTTTACGATCACGACTAGCACCCCACCACCACCATAGATAGATACCACGTATTTATAGCGTTTATACATTTATACAATACTTTATATAAAATAAAGCATCAGTATTTAAAACTCACATCTGTTCTGTCTCACATTGGATCTTCCATTCTCCTCTCAATTTATTTTATCATGCTGATCAGCACATATCGATGCATTGTCTTTCGCTGCACCATCAACAATGGCAAGAAATCAGTCCAATTCTCTCGAATCAACTCCTTCAATCATCATTCGATTCATTCAAAAGAAATTGATAATTAGAAAAAATTATTGATACTCTGGCAAGATATACTTACTAGTATTGACTTGATGGATTTCAATATTACGGTGGCCAATATAAACCAACATTCATTTGATCTTATTTCCTCTTCAATCTCCATTGTGAATACGTTGCTGATAGCTTCGATACATTGGATATGAAATAATTTTCCCATGGCTTATTGCAGAGTACCCTACAAAAAATACAAAGACTCTCTTACGAAAACAATATTTTATATCTATAGATTATAGCGTAAGAAGTAACAATAATTTTATTCCAAAGAAGGTTACGACTTGAATAGAATTTTATAAAGATTAAATTTCTTTGTTTTAATGCTCTCAATTTTCTCACAATTCTTTTTCACTTCAATATTTTAGTTTTTCCAATTTAACTCCTCATTAATTAACTTTTCAACGCGTACTTTTGAACTGATTGTTCAATAATAGACGGTCCTCATAATTTTCATTCCACGGTTATAACAACGACCCACTCGAAAGTCAGAGGATAATTGCGAGTTCTGCTCCAGGCAAGCGCACACATGATTATCTCATATTTATCACCATCGTTATCTATTCTATGTAAAGCCAAAAAAATTTTCGTTTTTAAATTTGAATGATTGAGCTAAGAAGTGATAATTCTCCACTCTTTTCACCGAAAACTTTCTGTATCTGCAATTTATTGTTAGTGGTGAGTTGACTGGAATTGCATTATAAAGTATAAATATTCATTTTAATTTTAATCTGACTCTTTATATAACTAATACGGAAGTTAATGAGATATAGGAAATAGACTATTTCTTAGTTTATAATACCATTCGTTTTAAATTATGTCGTATACACTTGCAACTTGAGTTCTCTCACAACTTCCGTATAAACCAAGTGCAATGGTAAGGTCATCTAATGTTATTTAAGATGCATGAGAAACAATTATCATCTGGAAATACTCAGTCAAATCCAAGCATCTTTGATCGTTGATAGATATTTGATGAATGGAAATTGAATATAAATATTAACGAACTGTAATGTCTGACATTTTATTGAATTTAAATCAAAATGAATATATATAAAAAATATGCAATTAAGATGCTTTTAAATAATGTGATAATGATAAAACTTCATTTAATATTTATTTTAATTATGCTATCAATATCATAATAGCTTTCTTGACAATTTTTGTATTACTTCTTACTTCACCAGCATTTGATTATTCTTTAGAAATAAATGATAGTTTGAAGCATTTTTAAAACGTTATAGAATAATTTTTATCCGAGTACTCGAGAAATTTTTTCAATAAAATTATTCTTATTAAAAATTTAATAAGAGATGGATCATTTTCATGAAGGTATATCAAACATTTAATAATCAATAATTTGAAAACAATTGCAGGTTCAAAGGTGGCTAGTAATAAAAATTGTTGGTGGTGAGAACTTTAATTCAGATTATGAAAAAATCAAATGCCCTTCATTAAGAATGCAATGGAAGGGGACATAGTGCTCCCATAATCTCATTGCACCATTAAATTGCCGCGTTTACAAACAATAATGTAAATGTCAGTCCTGCGATTAACACAATTCATGTACAAATGCTGGATCATTTGTTACTTTCAATTCTTTTATAAATAATAGAAATAAAAAAAAAATTTCAATCATCAATAATAGAGTATCATAATGATTATTGAGTATGACAATGAATAAACATTACAGATACCCTAGTATTACATAATTAAATAAAAACTGTAATAACTTTGAAAAATATCAAACACTTTGGCATTTGTGAACTTTCGCAATGTGAATCTTAAAGGTCGAGTTCGCGAGATAGAGTCAAACTGGGACCTCGCCACGACCTAGTAGAGTTAATTGTAGAGAATGATTTTTAAAGTCATCGTAACCCACGCTCACCTTCTTTCACAATTTCTTGCTTCCTTTGCAGATGCTGCTGTACTTGACGAACCGTGTGAAATAGGGAATCGATCGTTGCGATTATTATTAGACACCTACTTTGTACCTGAAAGAAATACGTGAAAATGATGGAACAAAAAATAGCAATAATGAAAGTAATTGTCAGAAATTATCCAGTGGAAAAATCGTGACTTGACCAATCGATTATCATCCATTTACGGGCTGATCTCTATTGTTAATGAAGAAATCAGAATCTATGATATTGCTTGGAACTTTGAAGGACACCAAATCATAGATCTTGATGCACCAGACTATTGGGTGTGGCATATTCTTACGAAAGAATTAGACTCCCATCAACAATCATGGTTTCTAAGGATCAACCAAGGTGCGGTCAACATCCTAGAGGTGTAGGTATATAAGCTACAATCGGAGCGTCTGCAGTCACATTCTATCATAACAGCCAGCAAAATGAAGGCTTTTGTAAGTACTAGTAGATCAACTTGAGTGTAAAATCCATTTTTTGTTAATTTGTGACACAAAAGTTATCGTGAAATAATTAATAAACCAAATATTCACTTACTCCATTTATGTGTTTTCACAGCTCATTCTTTTGGCTTTTATTGGCATCGTTACTGCTTATCCACGGGTTCGCCGGGGTGCAGTTTATGGCGGTTATGGTGGACATGGAGTATATGGTGCTCACGGAGCTTATAGTGGCCATGGAGCATATGGTGCCTATGGAGCCCACGGTGTAGCTCTTGGTGGTCCAGTTCTAGGGCCTGCTAGTCTTGCTGGTCCTCACGTGGGCGCAACAGCTCTTGCCGGTCCAGCGATTGGACCAGCTCATTTATCTGGCTCTGTCGCTGGTCCTGTACATGTTTCTGGAGCTGTTGCAGGTCCAGCTACTGTTACAGCTTCTGTAGCCGGCCCGGCACACGTAGAAGGTTATGATGGAGATTATGGTCATGGATATGGCTTTGGTGGATTCAGTCATGGGGCTTATCATGGAGGATATGCACATGGTGCTTATGCCGGACATGCAGGATTTGCTGGAGGTATATTTTAACATTTATATTTAAATATCAATAATATTGATAACCAATAAATTTTTTTTGCTGATATGTTCAACTATTTTCTAGGATATAATCATGGAGCATATGGAGTAGTAGCCTCTGGTACTCATGGTACAATTCTTTCTGGACCTCATACTCATGGAACAGTTGTATCAGGACCTCACTCAGGTACTGCTGCAGTTTCGGGTCCACATGCTGGTGATGTTGTGATTTCTGGACCTTCCGGAAAGATTACAGCTCATGGTGCTGGCCATGGTGCTGCTGTGCATGCTGGTTATAGCCATGGACATCATTGGTAAACAAAAAAGCAGAAAAAATATAGTTTTTATGATCTCTAGTACAAATTAACATTCACACAGCTTGTAAGAAGCTGATATCTATGTACCTCGAATTTAATAACAAGTTAAATATTCATAATTAAAAAGTAATTACATCTATGTATCACAGAACTTTGTTAAAAATTGTTAAAAATTTGTTAAAAGAAATTCGCACAGCTTAATAATCAACTGTAATCTATTTTTATAATAAATTAATTTTCAATGTTCCATGGATTAGAATTAAATATAATTTTTTTAAATGATAAAAATTTAACGAAATTTATTTGGTATGCTGGCAGTTAACTCTGCCTTGAAATCATTAAGTTTTTGATAATAAATCAAGCTACTAGTTAATATAAGTGCGTTATAACAAAGGAAAGATTATATGGCATATTCAATTCTAGTAGAAGCAGATACATTTGCATATCTATAGGAGAAATATACTCAGAACTTATAGTACAGATTTAACGAGACCATAAAGTTACATTAGTCCATGAGCAGCAAATATCTGTCTAATATTTCTTGTTTCCTTACAACTACAGTTCTAAACTACGATTGTAATCTGATGTAAATTCTTTGAAAACTCGAGAGCTTCACACTTGCTTTATTTTCCTTCTTTACCGATGCATTCTCCATAGAAACTATTTACATTGTCTGTCATAATCAATACAATAAACAAATATTATGATATTGACTCATTCTGAAGATGGTCAAATATAAACATCCATGCTATCAACCAGTATATTCCTTGTTATTTGCATGAATCGAGTATTAATCTATTGTGTGAAGCGTTACATTGTAAATAAATTACCAACATATTATAATCTACAATTGAATATCATGTTTACAAGAAAATATATCATCAAATATGATAAAATTAAAAAATAATATTCTGCAAAGCGGTAATGCTGGGTAAAATATCAATTGAATAAATACATGTATGAATGAAATATCAACAAATCCAGATGACTGCTTCATTTATTAACTTTTCACTGTTTATATATGATCGTTGACAATCTTATTCACGCTCGATAACTCTTGTTTTCCTTTTCTCGTTCATGCTTTCTCATAAGTTCGTACCAAAATTTCATCTATTCTCAACAAACATTGAATGGAAGAGCATAAAAATTGTATTCTTCTGAATGTAAATGGTTGATGATTTTACAATAAAATAAATGGCTTTTTAGACGTGATTGATACATTTAAGTTATTTGGATAAGTATAAAAAACTAGTCTACTTCCAATTGAACACCTAGTAAATAATATTATTGACTATTGGATGGGATTGATCAAGTTATCGATCATACAAATTTGTGGTCAATACAATCCTATTTGAATGACTATTAAAATACTCTTGGAACGATATTCTGATGCGAGCATCGATGTTGAGAAAAAGAGGAGGGTGAGTGACCCGATAATTGATACGAGCTAGCCACAGTAAAAAGAAATAAAAGCTCAATAGTGGGGACCAAATTACTATGCGAAGCAAAATTAACATGCAGCTTCTACTAACGACTTTTAATTTCAATTTACAATCGTTTGATTCATGCAACGATTAAATTTATCTGAAATTAAGTTGAAACTTAATTATTATAATTTCAATCTACTCTGACTAACATATTAATAAGAAGATATCTATTCTTATATAGAAACATATACCTAGTGAATTATTCGGTTGGTTCTGGTTTTGTTACAATCTAATATTCTTCTTTAAACTTACCTCTTCGGTTGCCACCATCATTACAGTTTTGGGTAATAAGAAGAACAGCTAGCGAAAATCTTCAAGTAAATAAGATTTCCAGCTGTGTTCTGGTACTGGGCAAAGATTGTCAGCCAAGGCGATTGGAAAGAAACCTTTATACTGCAACAGAAACGTGGGTTGTTGAAATTGTCCTCTAATACCTACACAAAGGTGAAAACTAGAAATATCAATTGTAAGAAAAGAAAAATTATTCAGTACAATACACTGTTATTTACATTTTACGCAACATTACTCTATAAATATCAAAAACATAATAGCAATGAAAATAGATGATAAGTAGGTTTCACTAAACATTCTATTACATCTAAAGTCAACAATTTCTATTGTGGATCAATGATTAAATTCTCCTGCAGCTAATTTGCTCCAAAAGGATCATAATGCGCTATTGAATCCCACAGGTAGTTACAGAGTTCAAATAAAAATTTCATATTCTAGTTTTATAGATAATAATAATAAACGTTATCAAAATTAATTTTCCAAAATATAGTGAATTTTTATAAAAATATTCACCAAAGAAAAATTGTTACTTTATAATTGTTTAATTGAAATAATTAAGGTTCATTCAAACTATCGATGGTCTAATTTCTGAGATTAATCGGTACAATAATTTTCATAGACAAATAACTGTAAATTGTCATTAGAATTACCAGAGAAAATTTTCACTTGGTTAGAATCCTATTGAATCACACACATGTACATTTGGAATTTTTTATCGTCCCAAGAGTTCGATCCATCTCCGTTAGAATGTAGAACAAAATTCCCAGATGTCACAATAATTGTACTCACCTAAATTTATTGGCTACTGAATATCCCCTGAGTATTTTTCGATATCTGAATAAAACATTTATATTCATATATAATCAATGAAAATAATAAAAAATATAGTGAGAAAGATAAATTATCATGTTATTTATATAAATTCATATTTCAAAAAGCTTTCGATAGATCACAATCATTTTCATGTGTGTAATATGCTGACAAACTAATCAAATTTCAATAAGAATCCAATTGAATTAATTATATCTTGTTAAATTCGCCTATTGCTCGGAGCAATTTTAATAATTTCATATTGCACAGCACAATCATGCATTCTAATGAAAAGGTAAAATCACCCTAGAGGCATATTATGCCAAATATTATGATAATTTTCGAATACATCCATGAATCGATAACATCATTTACCCACTCTCTAAACTTATCTTTATTTATGTTCTTAGTCTACATCTCAATGAGTACAAAAATTAAATTATTCATCAACATTTTTTATACTGAAACTCCTGAAAGTCCTGCACTAAATTAAAAATGTTTTTTTTTTTTTTTCAAATCTGTTGTAAAACTTTTTATAGAAGCTAAAATAATTGCATGCCTGACCTAATCGGGTATACAATGCACTTCACATCACTTGCTTAATTGCAAAAACATACCTACACATGCTTTTAAATTTTTTTATAATTAAAATTAATAAGAGTCATTTAATCAACATAATGGTATATAAAAACAGCCTTTTGTTCATTTCATTCTTTCCTAAAACATAAATAATTCGATATAATCAATACAATTGATTCAGCTTCTAAATAATTGAATAGAAACAATTTCAACTTATCAATTAATTAAAAATAATTAAATGGAAATGCATTGAGTGTGTGGTTATATGTTGTTGTGTTTTATTTTGGACAGAAACCAAAATTCAAAAGGACTAGTGTCCTTCAGTGGCAATGATTACAACCACAAGCGGATGTTGACCACGACTCTCACTTAGTAACGGATATTGCTGAAGTATTTGTCGTTGAGTATAGAACAAATGTGCGGTATGACCCTCAGCAGTGGCAGATTTAGCGCGAAGCTATTAAATATATGCATCTCGTATGTCACACCTTAGTAATAGACATCAACAACCAACAGAGTTACAATGCTTTCAGTGACTTAGCGTTGATAAATCCCCCGGTAGTGCACGGGCGAGATTGAGAATGTTTGGCGTGTCCTGCCCCGCCCTGTAAGGAACTGCAATAAAATCACCAAGCACATAACTGACGGACTATAAAAGCTGGTACGTTTTGCTAGACAACATCACATCATCGCGATCTGTCAATAGAGACATAGTCAGTTACTATACTTTTAATAATCATGTATAAAATTGTATCATTCTTGGCCGTCTGCGTGTCAGTTGTGGCTTCAGCTCCATCAGGTCTCTTGTATGGTCATGGAGTCGGCTTAGCTGGACCTGTTCTTGGAGCAGCTGGTCTTGCTGGACCAGCAGTTGGACCTGCCGCCCTTTCAGGACCTGTTGCTGGACCAGCTAGAATTTCTGGTGCTGTTGATGGAGGTGCAGTCGTAACTGGATCAGTTGCTGGACCATCAGTTGTTTCTGGTAGCGTTGTTGGTGGTACTGCTGTTGTTGAACCTGGTTACGGTTATGGTCTTGGATACGGATGGAATGGACTAGGTACGTTAGTCTTATTGTCATGTTGTAGAATATAAATCTTTTAAGATTAGTTGATTTATATTTAATTTTATATTTTACAGCAGCTCATGGTGCTCATGGAGCTGTACTGGCTGGTCCTGTATTAGGTCATGCTGCTATCTCTGGTCCTGCTGCACTCCCAGCAGTTGTGGCTGGACCCTCTGGAAGTATTGTTGCTGGAGGAGGTTACGGGCATGGACATAGATGGTGGGGGCATTAATCATTTCGATAGACTTCGACAACCCGGAATTTACTCGACTACCACTTATCGACCTCATATTAAATACGACTCATGATCTCCGTATATTTTACCTCTTTTTTGTATAATTTGGAATATATACCTCGCTACTTGTATATAACAAATATTTTTTCAAAATGTGTATCAATTTTTTTTTGCAAATAAAAAATTAATAACATAAAAAATTTATTTTATCAATTATTTATATGCTTTTCAATTTAATTTTATATTTTAAACCAATCATCACCAATAATTATTATTTTAAATTAAAAGCACACAAATTGAAAAAATTTTATCACTTGGAATACTAAAACATGAAATAAATTCTCTAAATTAAATATTTTTAAAATTATTAACAAATGAGGAGTTTATAAAAATGAAATAATAAATGTTGAATAAACGATTTAATTCATAAGTCTCTATGTATCTCTACAATTTAATTAGTCTTCAGTAAGCTTGTTTATTTATGTAAGAGGAAATTGTCATTTTCAGCTTAGAGTGTATATCTATCAAAAAAATTTTATTTATTTATTTACTCAAGCATAGATATTTTAGCAGAACTGTATACAAGAAACAGAAGCGAATATATTAAAATTAAACAAAAGAAAATAATGAGATCAAATTTCCAACGTCTGACATGATTCAGTTGAAACAAAATTTTTCTTTTTACATTCTTAAAAAAACGACAAAATTTATGTTAAGTTTTTTTCAAAATAAATGAATTCATCATATAAAATATGTAGTTCCTTGTAAAAGCTATTGTTTTCCTTTTCGTTTGTTATTATATTATTATCTTTCTTTTATTTACTATGTTTTGTACTCTGATTAAAAAATATTAAAAGCTTGTTTATAATTTTTTTTTTTACTACTTTACTTTAGTTCTATACATTACAAATATAAAAACATTTATTTCATGAGTTAACAAAAAAGAATCAACATTTTTTTCTATAGTGAGTGGTTTATAGTTGAAAGAACTTGGTTTTAATTATTGAATTGTTATGTACATCAATAACCACACATTAGCAAAGTAAATAATATTATTTAATTTTATTAAAATTTCCATGAATGTTTAAAATTTAATCAATTTATTATTCACTTTATTTTGGTGATTTATCAATTAGCAAAGCAAACTTTTATTTAAATTATTCCAGAAGAAATTTTCAATCAAGCATGTGTGTAAATTTTGATGAAATCATTTGATTCATATCCTGGAAATAATATGAGTAATATTTTTTATAGAATATCCAAACAAAGTGTTTAATTGGATTGTCTACACTCGGTTGCTTTAAAAGTTAGAAGCGGTATAAAAGTATAATTGAAACTAATTCTGCTACCGATAACAACCGAGACATAAAATGCAACATATTTTTTATGCAATATGTTTTTCACCGCGAAATATAAATGAATTGTTGATATTCTCGTGTGTTCCATTCAAATTTTATCAAAAAAGCTGCAGTCAAAAGCTTCCTATTTTTAGCCAATATAAAAAAAATGAATAAATTATATTATTTCCGGAGTCGAAGAAAATCAACATGTAATTATAAATGTAAAAAAATGTCAATGCCTTCAAACGGTTTCACTTTTACTATCATGCAACAAGGATAATTACTGATGTATGACATTTCTCTCGACAGATTAAAACAATGATACTATCGCTAGAAGGTTAGATCAAGGATAAATCGACTTATAAAAGCTTTGTAATCGAGTTGTCTTGTCAGTCGTTCAACAATATCTCAGTTGAGCTAATTACCCACTAAATCTCATCATGAAGTACTTGGTAAGATCATTATGACCTAGAGATCAATTATTATTTGAAATAATTAAAACATTTTTAATTAATAAAAAAATTAAAATAAAGAGATATCATTGGTCTAAGATGTAATTCGTTTCTTTAGATTGTCTTAGCTGCTGTAGCTTCTGCTGTTTCCGCTGCTCCAAGTAGTCTTCTTCATGGTCTAGGATTAGCAGGTCCACACCTTGGAGCAGGAGCTGCTCTAGCGGGACCAGTTGTGGGCCATGCTGGTCTTTCAGGACCAGTAGTTGGACCAGCTCATGTGTCTGGGGCTGTAGCTGGCTCTGCTGTAGTTTCTGGATCAGTTGCTGGACCTTCTGCTGTTATTGGATCCACTGCCGGAGCCACTCTTGTCTCTGAGCCATCTCTTGGTCTTTGTAAGCGTTTGTTATTGAAACTTTTTGATCGAAGGGTAAAAAACTATTGAATATTTAATGTGAAATTGATATGTCCGTTAGCCGCATGGGATCTTGGATGGCATAATGGACCCGGAGCAGTGGTTGCTTCCGGTCTAGTCGGACCTGCTGCTCTCCACGGAGGACATGGCTCGGTTGTTGTTGCCGGTCCTGATGGAGCATCTATTTCCACGCATGGTCTCGGACATGGTGCTGTAATTGCTGGAGCACACGGACATCTGGCACACTGGTGAATGTTCTGTACATTCTGTTATCGGCTCTCTCAACACTGTCCTTTTCGATTCTGTTAACTCCCCCGTTTCCTCTATGTAAAAAAATCTTTAAATAAAAGAAAAATTGATTTATTACCAAACTACAACTTTTTATTCTTTGTATAATTCCTACTACACAATTTAATGTTCTTTATAGTTATTGAATTGTAGTGAAACAATATTCACTCGAGTTTAAAGTTAAAACTAAAATCAGTTTTCTGTATTTTATTTTTCCATGTTTTTTTAAGCTATTGAACAACAATCATTCAATTATAAAATTTTTTTTAACTTATTTTGTTCAGAAAGAAAATTCTTTTTCTTTCTTTAATTACTGAATGAATGATAAAATAAAAAACATCAAAAGTTTTCTATCTATAAAGTATTCATGTATGAATGTAAAAATATTAAGAAATTAGTAAATGAATTAAATGTTATATAAGAGACACATTCTCTAGTATTTAATATCAAGTCCACAAACTACAATAATCAACGAAAGCTTTTGTCAAAAATTAAACATACCATGAGAGTAGCACAAATCCACAAATATATGTCACTGGTGTTTAAAGCTCATACTGAAATACATTTAGTCGCTCAAATGTAAATGCATGGCTTTTTGAATTAAATTTAATGCCCTAGCTCTCTACATAGTATGTCTATAGACACTTCACAATATTACGTTCGTCTTTATATTGATTTAATTTCTATTATCATTACATAAATTAGTAATAAATATATTTTAATTTAATCACTGAATTAAATTATAAATACTTCCTCAAAATAAAGCATTTCGTTATACTGGCCTTAAATACATTTTATAAAACTATAAGTTAAAAATAAGACATTTTTATTCGATACTCTCTAGTCATAGTCTAAAAGGTTCAGTTAATTTTTGTTATTTTAAAACGAAATAGTATATTTCACACCTACGGAGGGAAAGTAGTCTAGCTTGAACCACGTGTAAAATTACAACCCGAGCCGAAGGCGAGGGTGGTAAACACGTGGTTTAAGCTAGTCTAATTGTTCTCCTTAGGGCTGAATATGATTTTTCGTCATACCTGTGTGGAAAGTTCAACCCCTCTCTAATGGAAAAGTGAACTTTCCGCGCAGGTATGACGAAAATGAATTTACTTTTATATAATTACTACATAGAATCGATTTACATATTTTTAAAACAATTTTCTCAATCTTATTTAACTACAAATTTCATTTGAGTAAAAATATGGCCAGTTAAAAGTCACTGAGATAGAGAGAAAACTAAAGAAAGCTAGGAAAGAGTGCACGCTTTATTTTAAAATAAAGCCTTTTAACGAGAGGCAAAGCTTTTTTTGCTCATATTTTTTCTTCGTTCTTAAAAAAAACTTGAAAGGTGTGAAGTGATAGTATTACAAAAAATAATAATAATAAAACAATCGATAAAATATATTCAACCGCAAAAAACTAGTGCTTATGGTTACCTTTGTCATTAATAAAAAAATAATACCAATTCTACATCTATTAATAAAGAATGCAGTAAAACAGCACAAAGTTCCGGGATTTTCTGTTATGTTTTCAATTCCGTTAACCACACCTATTTTAATCACAATATTGACTTTTAAACAGGGTTGAAGGTCTGTCGTGTTTTCAATAGCACCGTTAGTTAATATAAAAAGCCACCGAGTCTGAGGGTTTGACATCAGTTCTCTTCTATTAGCCGATACAAACACTTTAAGAGCTCATCAAACTTATATTTCAATCATGAAATTTGCAGTATGTAATTATTTTTTATGTATTATTATTTTATTGATCCAATAAAATTAATTACTTTAATTAATAATAATTAGATTGTCCTTGCTGCTGCCCTCATCGTGGCAATCTCTGCTAGTCCAGAACGTCAACGTCGCTCACTTGGATGGGGATGGGGACATAATGGAGTCGTATTAGGTGGTCTGGGCTGGGCTCCAGCTCTTGGAGTCCACGGTTCTGCTTTAGTAGGACCTGTTTCTCCATCCGTTGCTGTGGTTGGACCTGCTGCAGGTTCTGCTGCCGTTGTTGGACCCGTTGGTGGTTCTGCTGCTGTGGTGGGACCTCATGCAGGAAGTGCTGCTGTTGTTGGACCCTCTGGTGGACACACTGCTGTTGTTGGACCATCTGCCGGACATGCTGCTATTGTTGGTGGCCACCCCGGTACGAGTAATAATATAATCACCCAAAAAAATTCTCTAGTTGTAAGTTGTAGAAATTGTTTAGCTAATTAGACAATTTATTTTAGGAGCTGCTGTAGTAGCTGGACCTGCTGGTTTGATTTCTGCTGGAGGTTTATGGCATTAAAAGTAAATTACAAGCCATTAAAGCAGTTTTAATATCATAATTGGAACTAGAAAATTGTAATTTGTTCAAGGAATCTAAACATCAAGATACTGTCGTACATCATTGTTTTAAGAAACTTACTTCCGTAAACAATAAATTTTATCACAGCTGCATGAATACCGACTACTTATTCCAACTTACTCATTACAAAGTTATAATGACTCTTTGAAGCATTCTATTGCATTTGTACGATCAATTCTTTTGTCTATCAGATGACCCAGCACCTCGATAAGTTTTAGCAATCTACCTCAAACTTTCTTCTTTCGATAGATTTCCATATCTTCAGGCTAGCTGAGAATTCTCTTTCTTTCTTCTTTTCTGTCCTACTGATCACGATTGTACTTTACTTTTAATTTACTCTTTACTGTGAATAATCTATAGATACTATTCTGAATGAATATCAATTTCTATTCTATTGACATATAATTGAATAAATGAGCTGAATAAAAATGATAAAAATCTGGCTTTATTTAAAATAATGTCATCAGTGATCATTGATATTCCTTTGTCACAAACTTTTCATGCATACGATGTTATCATTTTATTCTCCCAAACTTTTATTTTTTCATAAAGGTCTGGATATGAAAATAGATGATATTTTTTAAGTGTTGTTTCAATAACATATCAAACTCAATTCATTAACATTATATAATTCACCCAAAGGTTATAATAATTAAATAGAAACCATGATATAATGAACTTAAAAGCTTTTTCAGGTGTTAAATTGCATGGAAACAACCAATAATAAAATTTGTTTAGTGAATCTTTAGAATTATGTTATGTGTACTAATCAATACAATTAATTATATGCCATTGGCTATTAAAGTCAATTGAAAACTTAACTAGTTTATAAATTATTTGCTATCACTTATTTTATAATATAATTCTCATATAAATTTTAATTAAATAAATGACTAGTACAATTTAAATAATAGGAATAAATATGTTATCAGAGTACAGGTGAATAAAAATACAGAGTAAAATATTTTTTAATTATCAATTTATTTAAAAAAAACCAAATTACAAAGCATCAGTGAATAAAAGAAATAATTACGGGTTATAATTTGAAACAATTTTTAAATTTGGGAAACTTTTGTTTAATTTAAATTTATTATTGTAATTATCATCTAACCCAAAATAGCTTTGCCTCCCCAAGCGTTTCCGGCCCAGGCGTTACCAGTCCAACCAGTTGCCAAAAGTGGTTTGCTAATAAGAACGGCTGTTAAAAAAATAAAATAAATATTAACAATAATATTATTAATATAAATATTAATAATAGCACGCTTATAAAAATATATTTAACATTAAGAGAGTACATTTCAATAAGATTCGTCATAGTTGAAAAAATTATCTTCGATATAGTTTCTATTTTTTTTGGCTAAATAAATCAAGAAGTTATAAAAAACATGATTGAAAAAACTTACGAGCGGGTGCGACGACAGCAGGTTGAATCGTCTTCACAACAGTGGGGACTGCAGGAGCCCAAAGAGGAGCACCAGGGTTAGCATCGGCAAAAGCCAAAGCGGCAACGACGATGAATAAGAAAGCCTGGAGAAAGTGTCGATTAATTATCATTGATGCAATTACGATTATATTGATATGAAAAAATTTTTTATAATATATTTAATAATAAAATTTTTATAATATATTTAATAATACATTACCAAGAGTTTCATGGTGATGATTGTGGATTGTTTCTTCACTGGTACTTCAGTAAGAACTGCAGTGGAAAACTGATATCTGTCCATAGGTTTTTGCCAGTATTTATATCAGTGGGTTTTGACAATCACATCACTTTTCTTTCAATGTTCATTATGTCTTAGTTTGAATGTATAAACTTGTCTCCAGGGAGAGGTTAGTTCGATCGAGTTATTATTCGCTAAACGACAACATTGCATCAGAAAACACTTCTAATGGAACATTAAATGTTTTATTTTTACAATTACTAAATAACCTGAGAAAGATTTCCTGATGGATTTTGTTTGTGTCTAACAGCTGTAACCCATTGCTTTCTTCAAAAAGAAAAATTTACTCAACATAAAATTTTCAATTTGAAACGAATGGTTGGACATTTTTTTATGACAAATAAAATAGTTTTATTTCAAACTCTAGTCAAATTTAAAAACACGAAATACTTTATAATACAACAAATTTATTACAGACGAGCTGGCTAATAATGGAATAACATTGCATCAGACTAAAATACAAATACTCACTCGAATTCTTTATTAAATAATACAAAACCATTAAAAAAAAAAATTTGCAATTTCAATTTTTTAGTCCAGAGTTTTATTTATCAATAGCAAAAAAAAAAAATATTTTGTCAATTATTTATCAATTCAGAGGAGCCGAACAAAATAATGTTATTGAATGAAAAAAAATTTTCCGATTATTTAGATTCAATTACACCGTACATTTGCAACTTTTTTTTAAAAAGATGTGTTCAATCATATAAAAAAAAATTTTTTATGGGAATAGTCAATATAGAAATAAAATTGCATCAGCTCAATAAGGTGACATTCACCTTCTCTTTTTTGCACAAGAGAGATTTATTGGCCACTAAAATTACTTATGCATTGAATGCATTTGATAAGGACGAACGTTATAATTGGTAAGTACTCTGAAGCAATTGAAATAAATTATTCAGAAATAATTATAATAACAATACGAATCTCTTCTTCAAGTCTAAATATAACTAATTGAAGACATTTGAGTCTTAAAAAAATTGTTTTCTATGAATTTACAAGTTTGAAAAAATGAGTATTGTTGTTATAAAATATTTCATCAAATTATCTTTAAAATGATATTCTTCCTTACAAAATAAAAAATTACGTTAGTCTTTGATTTATAGTATGCTGAAAAGGATTTGTCAACTGTATTCCCAAGTAATTGAAGTAAGTTGAGTTCTTCAATTGAAGTAAGAAAAAATATATATATAATATTGCTCATTAATTTTTTGATCTTTTCTGAAGAACATTGATATATTTTCGAAATGATAAAAGATTATTCTGATTTCCTTTCTTATCATTATTCAAATCCTCTACCAGGTTGTCCTACTGCCTCGTAAATTTCTCAGATCGATTAGGACAAGGATTTCATTGAATTTTCGCTTCCTTTCTCTTGTCCTCCTTTACTATCTCTACCTTTTGTTCAATCCTTTTGTGACAGTCTTGTGATACAGAACAGTAGTTCTTTAAACTGTACATTTCTAGAAATCGAAATCATTTTTGCACGTGTATTTATTTTATTTTATGACAATTTATTTAATTATTTTGAAATGAATGATAACTTTTGTCTGAAAACTATTCCGAAGAAAATGTATCTTAGAATTTAACCGTTTAGAATTTTATTTTAATCTTGGAGTTTATTTCACTTTCTTGAAATAGCAAAACATGTAGATAAATAACTGTTCTGCATTGAATGTGAATATACCAGAAAGTGTGAAGTGAGCAGTTATTTAAAAGGATGAAAGAAACATAGCGATGCGTTGTAACTCTTAGTCTTTGTAAATATACAACAGTTGCATAGACGTGCAAGCACGTCTTCTACAAAACGCCACATTTGGCGAAACGCTGTCAAAAGAGTACTCGAGCTTACGGTGCACAGTGTATAAACATTTTATGTGCGTCGCTGTAAACGACCTTATGTTGACAAAAATATATATATTATGCAGACAAACTAACCGCATATTCAAACGTATGCAGTCTAATCCTAAATTGAATTTTATGATTGATTATTTGCACAAATTTATCACAACAATTTTATAAGCACAATTTTTTTATTAATTAAAAAGTCATCCATGCATATTTACTATTTTTATGTGCATAAAACTATTTCAAGTAGTGTTTTTATCAGAAAAGCTTTTTTAACACTCAAACAATATCATTTAAATTGATTCCATCTATTTCTAATAATTTTTATACTACACATTAAACATTTTTTTGTCAATAGGAATAGTTATCAATATCAGTAATTATTCTTTTGGAAGTGCAGGAGCTGCAGCTGCTGGTTGATTGTTAGTTCCAAATGTCTTTGAGAATGAAAAAACGTTCTTCAGTATAGTAGAAAATGTTTCTGCGGGTTGCATTATTTCACCTCCAAATTCAAACTTAGGAAGTTTCACCTGAGCCAATAGAATTACTTGTAATTAATATCGCTAATAATTATATTTAATTGTGATTATTTTAATGAAAAATACCGAATTGAATGTAGACTGGACATTTTCCTGCAGCATTTGGAACGTTTTTTGTACAATTTCTTGTACTTGTTGAGCATTCAAGGAGGTATTTTTAATAATAGAATTTGTTATATTTAAAATTGCATCAGCTTTGAATACCTTGAATTAAAAAATATCAAATTTTATAATTGATGATTATCGCTATTTTAATGTCACATTTAATTCGCTCACTTGTTCAAGACTACCACGAATTGTATCTAATGTTGAAGTATATCCTTGTTGAAGCTGTTCTAGCATTTTTTTAACATCGTCTGAAGGTGCAGCTGGTTCTGTAGTTGCTACTGTGTCACAGTATGATACCTTAACAGGAAAATTCATTTTGATGATAATTATCAAAGTAAATGTTAACGTTTACTTCAGTTAAATAAATATTTCCTTTTGTGAGTCTGAGAGTGATAAAATATTATGAATGATACGGTAGATTTACTTTCTCTATAACATACAACGATTTTTTTCTATTTTATTACATGGTTTTAAAATAAAAAAGAACGATAAAATTTTCATTGATTAAAGATATGCATTGTTGAAAAAAAAAGAAATAAAAGAATCATGTTACGTTCTATAAAAGATTGAAAATGTCAAATAAAATTGTATTTTACAGTATTCGGATGGGATTAAATAAAAAAATTATTATTCTGATTTTTTTAAAAATTATACATAATTGCATATAGCCGAAGAATTTTCTTGTAAATTTAATTAGTGAAATTGGAATAATTGCTTTAATACTGAATTTTAAAAAGAACATATTTCTTTTAGAGATATAAAAAGGACGATCAGTATAAATTATTTGACTACTATTGGTAATCCAATGAAAGTTGATTATTCGTCGTTTTAATGGAGAATGAAAAAATTGATTGAATGTGTTCGAATATTTTCTACAACTTTAGTTTGTAATTACAACAAAAAAAACTGTTGTAAATATAAATACAATCATCAGGAGAATTATTGTTTACAAGGTTATTACTTTTATGTCCATTGCATTCATTTTAATATAAACTAAAAACTGAGAATTACGAGTTTAAATGACATTTGAATTTTCTCTGATAAAATTACGTGTTTTTTCATTATTCCAAGAAAAAAATCATACAAATTAACTGACAGAATATGTGTTGTTTTTACAATCCCTTTTTTTCGTTTGAAAATGAAAAGCCTTTAGCGAAAATCACAAACATGTGAAATTATTCTTTTTAAAACTGGTGTCGATATTATACAAAAAGAGTTAAGAGTATCAACTTCATCCAGTTAACTTGATATAAAACATTAAAAATTATCAGGTGTATAAAACATTTAGCATTCAAATGATTATTTTTATAAACAAATATCGTTTGATCGAAAAATTATTTTTTCACTCTCTATAGATTATTACTATAGTTGCAACATCTTTTTCTATTCTTATAATTACAGACTAAAATTGTAGCACCTACACATATTTTTTGCTAAGCATACAGAAAAAAAATCTGTATCAGTAAACCAAAAATCTGTTGCTGTGACAGATATTTTTTTCCGTGTATTGTGATTCAGTGGTAGGATTGCATGAAAAAATAAGTTGATGATTCCTTTAATAGTGAGTTTTTACGTTCACTTCTTCCTTAGGGGATTCAATTTAACCAACTTTCCCCTATGTCTATCGAACGTTGATATTTTCAATTTCAATCAGCCTCCAGCCATAAAATATTTTATGAGTAATGATAAAGAAAATTGTTATATGAGTTAATATGAAAAAATGTATACTTACATGACAAAATGCCAAGAAAGCAAAAAATACAAAAAGTTTCGTCTGCATTGTAATTTGTTGATTTCTTTTCGTCTAAAGAAACTTGCCTTTTGTAAGATTTTTCACACTGCACTGAATATTATTAAAAAATGTTCAGTCTTTTTATACATACTTGTATCCGGAAAAAATTGAAAATTCATACAGAAATTATGTAACAGGGAAAAAATTCTTTTGTACTTTATCGATTCATAAATACGTTAAAGTATTCAGCTGACAACAGAGATGTTATTTAAAAGAATTGAATGGTTCTTACATTTTTATCGATCGTACGTGTCACAATAAAATAGTCTTTATCATGTGTTTCTCTTATCAAATAACAACTTAAGTAATAAATTATTTGTCTACATCAATTTCTGTTTTGTAAAAACATTCTTTACTTCATGGTTTAGTGATGGATATCAATCACTCGGTGAACATGGATATAGGATAAATTTTATTGGCCGTATCAAAATAGAAATGATGTATCAAAGTGTTTAATTGATGTTCAAAAAAAATTTCACCAATAAAAAAATGTAAAAATAATTTTATCTGAAAACTATTGTTAAAAAAAATTATTTTCTTCTTTGAAAAAAAGATTCAGCATACGTCGATAGTATAATAATGGTAGATACAGACTTTATGAATATAAAAATTAATTCAAAGTAAAAAGCTGAATGCTGTAACAAAACAGACAAAAGTAATTACTGAATATTAATTTAAAACAATGTGTATTATTAGGTTAATTATTGGCTTTTATTTATTTTTTAATACGAATATATTACAAATCTGAGTTCAAAAGAAAAAAGTCAATAACATATGGTGTCCCCAAGCGATCTCCAATTTAAGTACCATCCATGCTTAATGTTGCTTGACTGCAGTAATTAGAAAAGAGCTTGGTATGATATGACTATTGGCAAAAATTTGCCCTTAGTTCAGAATAAAAAAATGGCACTGAGTTATCGTCCATCCATATTATTATTATATTATGGATGAATAATTATGCATACATTTTATGTAAACGTAAAATTTAGCAATATCCGCACTGTAAACGAATTCGCAATGTCCTCTGTGGTTGTCTGTATTCCAACAATAGATGTATTCAATAAATTCTGATAAGAAATGATATAATTATTACAACAAATAACATCATTGGACGATTGATAAAATTATATAAAACTGAAGTAACCACAATATTGCATGATTTGACTTTTAGTATTCCTATAATGTTGAAGTTCACATTTTACACGAAAATCAATATTGAATCTGGTTAAAATGTGTAATTATATTAAAATTTACATATGATATTCGACTGTGTGAGTTTAATTCAATATGATATTAATTATTGTATTTTTAGGTTATAAAATATATATTATTAACTATCTATTTATAAACAGATGAAAAAATTAAATAAAGCTTTATTAAAGTAAGCGCAGGTCAAAAGGATTTTTTAAATATCAATTTATTTTACATAAAATCAAAGCAATTTGGATAAATATTAAACCATTTATATGCATAAAAAATATATTACTTTTTTGCAAAAATAGTATATGAGGTAATTTTATTCACGCTTAAAAAAAATTTGTTAAATAATTCAAATATTCTACTTTTAAAAAATACTTTTTAATTTTGATCTCTCGAACATGTAATTATTTGATAAAATTTTTAACAAATTTTTATCTGAATATTTAATAGATTTAATTGTTGCGAAAATTATTTATTAAAAAATGTTTTAATTGATCATTTTCTCTACTATAAAATGGTATTGTAGTCAAGTATTCTCGAGTCTAAACTGCCGCCATCACTCGGACATTACAGCAACCGCTTACTAACTAAAATTCTGCAATTATTTGCAATAAATGGTTTGAATCTCAACTATATAGCTCAGTCATAATATTAATCACATCAATGATCAAACTCTTATTTATATAATATAAATTAATCATAAATTTTCTTCAATTGTTATATAGAAAAAAACATCGAATCAGCAAATTTTTGTATAAAGTGCATAGTCAAATAAAATTGCCAATTAAAAATGAAAAAAGCTATAAAAAGTAAATAATTGAAATAAACATCTTTAAATTTGAAGAGTTCTATTTCATATTCTTTTTTCTGTTTCACCTATTAAATAACAAAAGTAGTCCAGTTACTTTACGACTTTTGCGAAATATCACGCATCACATTCAGCTCAATTAGAGTTGTTCCAACTACACACAGAGTCGTTAAACAAATAATATATCGTTTCATGACAGTAAAATTCACATCCGAAACAACATAACATTGAAGATGACTTTGAAAACATTATAAAAGTTCATTTATTTATCCAAAGACGTGATGTAATAAAAAAAATAATGCTAAAATTTTATCGAACAATCCTTTTAGAATTAAAAAAAAAAATGGTAAGTGAAATATATGATGAACTAGAAAATGAAAAGTTATAAAAAGGTAATATTCCAAACGATTTTAGTTCCTTACAGACAAGAAATAACTTTATCCATTAAATAAACGTTGTAACGACCTTCTTCTGTAACTTTGAGCCTCAATGTGTATAATGTAACGTGTAATACAGTTTAATAACTATAAAAATATACTCAGCATTATTCTTCGTTAGGATAGTCCGTATTTAAAAATTATTAATACATTAAGAAAAAATATCTCTTAGATGCTGCAATTATTTTAAGACTCCAACTCCCTTTCTCAAGAACCACAGAGACATTTTTTGAAGAAACATCCACATAATAAAAAATTAATCGAAGAAATTTCTTTTTATCAATAGAGTCTTAAATCATAAGATTAATTGTATTTCTCAATAAATAAGAGTATTACGGTTAAAATCAAGCAATTTAAGTTGAATTATTTGTACTCAAGACATTAAATTCGTTAATTTATGAAATTGATATCCTCATAAACTATTCTAAATCAGCGAAAGAATCGACTCACCAGCATTATACTAACTGAACCGACATAAATCGAATTTGATACGCCGATCGGAATTAAATCTTCACTCAAGATAAGCTATAATTTTAAATCGCTTCGTATTGAGTTACCTGATCAGGACTCCAATAAAGACTAGTGGAACGAATCGTTTTATATTCCTACGAATATCAAAATTCTAGGGTTTTTTCCCACCAAGGTAAAATCGATAAATCAACAAAAGATAAAATCCATGTTTTATTTTCGATATTTTTTCTTTTCATTTGAAACACAATAAAAATTTTATTAGACTTTTCTCAATAATAAAGTATTTTTATTACAGATCAACTTCAACGCAAGTACTCAAAGTAGCCTCCACGTAATAGCGATAAAAATTATTGCTGGAAAAATATTATAAGAAGCTTCATGGTAAGTCATTTTTACTCAAATAAATAAAAATTTTAGTAATAAAAAAAAAAAAAATAATAAAAGTCAATGAAATGTATGTTGAGGTATCCTGTGTGTACCACAGTTTCCCGCAAAATTCGAATGTCACGTGAATCGCCTGCGCATTAACGCTCGGAGCACGTGGAACAATAAAATCTGTATGGAAAGATCCGCCCCGTGTACTTCGGGGTAGCGCCCATCTAATCGTAAGGGAAGTGAGGAGAACAGTCGCGCGCCGGCCGCTGTCACGGTGAGTTCCTCATGTGTCGCTCCGTTTCGGTGAGTCCATTTTTCTCTTACGTGTTCTACCTTAAATTATTTATTTTCATTACTTATTATTACAAGACACTTATCTTCATTCTTTCAAATTATTTTCATCCATTTAAAATAATCATATTTTAAAATTATCTATCATTTTTTTTTTTGCTTTATCACAATTTCACGTCTCTCAAAATGTCATCCTTAATATTTATTTGCACTACTGCTTTTTATAATTAGTTATACGAATTATTTTCTCTGGTAAAATAATAATGTGATGGATTATATAGTGATCATAAACCTTATTGCAATAAATAATATTTTGACTGTGTAAATGACAGAGTTTTAATGGAACTCCATGTAATGTTGGTAGAAGGAAATTCAAAAACTTTGGGTTTCGTTGAAAGTTTCAATATATATTTTTTGCTGTACACACTAACTGGTCTCTCCTCGAAAGGAAATTCTATTGGCCTGACATCTACAATTTAAATTAGTTTAACAAGATTGCTGTGAAAGGTTAAACCGATTAAAAAAGAGAAGCGATGTTTGAACGAAGCTCAACGATTAGAAAAAAGAGTCGAATCTAAAATTTTTATTAATAGAAAATCGAATTTTACGAACGGAAATATATATATATATATATTTTTATTCTGATAGAGAATTAAATTTCTTATCAGTGTTGAAAAAAGGCAGGTTAATTTTTTCTCTTGTGTATTTCATGCTACAGAAACTATCTGCTAACAAAATTACGTTCCTGTAACTCAATTTTGCGGTACATTCGATGCTACATAGTTGCTCGATTCGAATGTACTTTCAACAAAATTTACAGATCTCAATAGAGCTACATATCATTCTAACATTAATTTTATCATTCAATAAGTTTGATATTGGTTGTTCGAGGAGAAGTATCTTGTAATTCTACAAAATTGAATAATAATAACGGTGAATAATATTTTGACTTTGATTAGAAAATCAATTTTTTAATTATCAGTAGTTTTTGTTGATAAAAATAGTTGAATAGCTTTATTATAAGAGATATATTTTTTAAATAACATTAATTGAAAATGATATAATGAAAATGGTTTAAAGTAATTAAAGATTAAATTTTTTTGTTCATATGTGACATTAGTAAAAATACCAAAATGAATTAATGAACTTGCGTCCATGTATTCATGCATAAAAAAAGGTTTCGTACAATGAAAATGTTATATATTGTTGGGTGATTTATTTCGTACACTAAGAAAAAAGGGCTGAAAATAATAACCACAAATACCACCAATAATAAAAATAACTCTATTACGCTTCCAGCATATACCTTTTTGTCTATACAAAAAATTTTTGAACAATTTCATAAATTGCAATAAAAATGGTTTTATCGATATTATAAATCATTGTTGATAATCATATAAATTTTTTTCAAAGGCTGATTGTTTTATTTAATCTAAAACTCAAATAAACTTTTTCCCCTTTGAATTAATAAACAAAATAATTATATCTAATTTTATCGTAATTTTCATTATATTTTTTGTGGAAATGAAATAAGCTTTTATCAACTTTTGTCAACCATCAGCGTACTTCCGATCCACGTTCATTGTTTATGAGTTGTTTACATTATCCAACTTCACTGAGCATAATTACAATAAAGTTTGTTTTATCTTATCCACCCACACAGGTAGGACTGATGACAACACATGGCCCTGAAAAAGCATTAAAAGCATTTTATGTATATTTTAAAACCAAACTAATCCTTTGAGCTAATTACATTTAATTTTTTTTAATTAATTTGATATTTGAAATATTCCTTTTCGCTTAATAATTAAAAGATAAAAGATAAATTTTATTGAAATATTAATCATGTTTTTAGAGTGTAAATAACATTGCATTGATATTTAAAACATACCAATTTAATTACCAGCTTTTATGAAGGCGGGATATTTAAAAAAAAAATGATGACATAATCGAAAATTGGATAATAATTGAAAATTCATGAATTCATTACTAGGTATCCATTTTATTCAAGGTCATTGTAGTATGGAATTATCAATTAACTCTATTAACAATTAAGAGTTGTTGACCAATTGGCAATTGTCCCATTTTTTACGTTTTAGTAGGACACACGATTTCCAATTCTCATGATTAAATTTATTTCTATGGTAGTTAGATCATTGAAAATAATTCAATTCTCTTTTTCTCTATAGAAAGATGCAAATGAAAATGTAAATTAGAGAATATTCAAAATCATACTTGCATTGTTTGTAAATCAGAATAAATGATTGGATTATAATAGACGTTCTTTTACGAACTTTTTTTATGGCCATAATAAACTATGGCAACTCGTAGAAAAACTCGGTTTGAATGAATTTTTATGATGATGGACAACAAAACTGAGTTTTAAAAGAATATAACTGTTAACAAGGCCATGTTCATTGCAAAGGATGACAATATATGAGTTGTATGCTTACTTTAACGAGAATTTGTAAATAGAAGACAAGAGAATCAAAAATAGATGATGAGCTTTTGATGTTTATTAAATAAACACTTTTGTTTTTTAGGATGGTATATCTTCTAGGCGCTTAATGCCCTAAGGGGCTAAACAGCGCGAGTGCGTTAAGTAGAGTGTGCTTGTAAGAAAGAGGTCTATACAGGTGAGTCTTCGAGATGAGCTATGAAGGGGGCCCTCGGCTGCCTGCTAGCCTCCGTCTTCATTTTCGACTTATGCCGACCAAATATTTACGCAACGGCGCTTCCTCCTGTTGTCAAAATTGGTAAGTACTAGCATTACTTTGATCATAAATATTTGTTATTTATTTTAATTTAAATATTTGCATGTATATAATTTTTTTTTATTAAAATTTTTAAAATTTTATTTTTTTTTTTTTATTAAAATTCGTATTTTAAGCAATTTATATGACACTCGAGGCTCTAGCTTAAGTAAAAAAGCCGTTCGATATCTTCGATAGTCTACCGGGTTTGCCTCGTGCTCCGATTGGTGGAGAAATATTCGATATATCGATAGAATCTTGAATATAAACTAGCGAGAAACAGAATAATATTTTTTACTTTAAAGAAATCAATATGAGATTTAGTGTTTGGGTATTTCTTTTATGGAATATTTTTTATATATCCTTTCTATAAATTCTTTTTCAAATTTTCCAAGGTTTAAAATGGATCTAAAAATCAAAACTAAACTATTTTAGTGTTTACAAAATATTTAAAAGATTAACTGAATAGAATTTAATTTTCCCTACCAAGAATCATATTTGAAATTATTAAATATTCCTTGAAAAACATTTTTTTTTTCTTGCCCTTCATCCGTGTAATTACCATGCTGATTATTATTAGTTTACACTTACTAATTAATAGTTTCTCAAAAAGAGTACTGATAGTAGCTGTAGAGTTTTTGAAAGCTTTGGAGCATTTGAAATTGAATTAAATCATTATGAATGTTCATGTGCTTTCTCTAGAGTCGCAAAAATAAAGTAGTAAAACACATAATTCAGGTATACTCAAACCATCCAAGTATTACATGCTTCCTCAGGTATAACAACATTGACGAGTATCGAATCGTGCAAAAGAGCTCTCTCGACAGAAATTCCAATAGCAGTTAAGTGAAGCTAAAGCACAAGAGCTTGTGGTGCTGAATACCGTGGCACACCACGACTCTCACTTGTAGTTAGAAATCGGAAACCTCTTGTGTTAGACCTGTCGCCTATTAATTCATGAGTTTATCGGAGAGCATACTCATATGTTAAATCTATCAAAGATAGTGCCAGCAAGGTAGCTCGATAGTCAATATCATTCATAAAGTACTGACAACATCAAATCATAGATTGAGATATTAATATTTATTTTGACAATAGGCAAATTGAATTAACCATTTCCAATAGCTCTAAAAATGATATCAATTGCAAAAACGACTCAAACTTTTTCATAAAAAAATTCCTTTTTGATCATTACTATTATTATTATCATTATAAACAGTTGCATTTAGTGCTAGTGTAGATTTGGAAGACAATAAACGGATATGTGATCAAAAAAATATCTCCAATAAATCGTACAATATTTTTTAACTCACTAAATTGAGATGATAAAATTGAAACAATATTTTTTGTAAATAAATAAGCTTTGAAATAGATTCAAAACTGTTGAATTTTCATATAATACTCAAATATGAAGTGTTGGTTTATATTATTGGCTAATAGTGATACATATCGTGTAAGTTACTGATTTATTGTTGACTAATATTATGAAAAGCTCTTCACAACTTGAGCAATTGACACATCATCATGTTCGTCGTCCCAGTTCATCACGTAGTGTAGATCTGAAGCTCAAATATTAGTTTATTGATTTGAATGGTTTATTCACTATATAAACATTTATTGATTATGATAAATTATGCTCATCTGAATGATATACTGAACGTGATAAATTCATAAAATTTCAAGAACTCAACGAGAAAAAAAATTTAAAACAAAGATCGTGAAATTCAGCATGAAAGAAAAATGAGCATTGGGCAACTCGAATCCAAAATTTGTTCCCACATACATAAATCCTGTTTACTCGCCTATCTTTCTACTTTCTTTTATTCATTTTATATTATTCTTCCTATTTCAATAGGTCTCGATTTTTCGTACATCTATATTGATCTCTCGACTACAGTCACACATGTAACTGAATTGGTATTATTTGGAGTCAATTGGGGAATGTTCGAATAGTACATTCGGGGCTTTTAGAGGCCACAACTGGAATTATAGACTGGTTAGACATCAATACTCAAGTGCGAAAAAATGTAGTTATTTTCTGGGAAAAGTGTATATAGAACAATCTATTCTGCTCTATCTCAACTCACTTTATACACTGAGGCCTCGTTTATTGCCAAATTATATAAACTACATATGTACGAACATTGGCACACAACTTCTGTTGAATATTTTCAACGATCCACTTACTAACTCGTGGTCATTTCCCTGATTTAACCTAGTTGAAGATGCGTTTCATATTTTCAAGCAAAAATAAGCTGTAGTTTCAACTAAAAGGATCATTCAATAAATTTCAAAAAACTGTTTCTATCTAAAATGTTGGATTCTTGTTAAAAACGATTGAATTTTCATGAACTTGGATGCATCTTAAAGGTTGCACTTTCTAGTTTTTGAAACTTGCATTTCAATTTTTGTTCATCGCTTTCTACCTTTCACCTTCTACTTCTTTTTTTTATTTCAATGAAGTTTATTGAAGTTAAATAAAGTTCTATTTACAGAGATATAAATCAAGTATAACTTGGAATATTGAATAGTTTTACAGGAGTTATACATCTTTTTTTTAGTTTTACTTTAATTCGATCAATATCGTGGTTTTACTATTTGGGAAATAAATATATTCATTCGGGAATATTTTTAGACCAAAATGAAATAAATATTCGTAGATATCTCAAAAGAATTGCCAAATATTTTTTACTTATTTTTATCTGACGTTGACGAATTACAAGGATATTATACTCTTATTGTCAGAATTTATTTTAAAGGAAATATTATACAAGAATTGTCGGATTTACTTTCAAAGGATTTTTAATAAACTCACAAAGAGAAATTTAATAGACTAAGGAATTAAGATAAAACACTCGAAAACAAACCTATCTTTTCTTGAATTTCATTGTATATGGTATAAACTTTTTTACAAAATTGCTTAGTTTTCTCTAAAGAGATGTAATCTGTAAAAACCATCGGATAAGTTCTTGAACAAAAAATTTAATCATTTTGAAGTTGGTTCTTAATTACAATAGTAATAATGAAAATTACATAAATGAACAATAGATGAAAATGAGATAATATTGACACACTAAAAACTTCATTAATGTTCAATCGACTGAATTTAAATTTCTATGAAATCAATGAATCTGAAAACGTTTGGGGAAATTTTTTTTAAGTATCTCTGTTGTAGGAAATGAAATAGAAATTATTATGTTAGTGACACCCCTGAGAAGTTTTGTCACTCTATAAGGGAAAAAATTTACACGCTCTATCGCTTTTTATTACTTTCTTTCCATTATACACTTCGCCATGATTTCTTATTTTGTGCTAATGGAATAACATTCAATTTGTTGAATGTAACCTTGTATAAATAATTATTCTGTAACATTGTTTTTTCAAAACAATATTTCTTCTCAAAAGAATTTTATATCACTTTAAAAATTTGTAAGTAGAGTAAATTAACTTTGCTCCGACATTTTTTAAATATTTCAACAATTTTTTTTTTAGTATTCTGACTTATATGTAAATGTTATTTCTTAACACTTCAAGGACTTAATGTTACTGTGAAATATTTATGTATCAATCATCTGCACCAAAAATAACAGATATGCAACCACTGCGTGAGTTGCTTTTTCAAAGAAAGATTTGTGGTTTGCAAGAAAATGGTCTGCGACAGTCTGAATTAGATGATGCTCTAAAAAGTGTAAGAAAGATGAACTAAAAAGAATAATGAAAGAATAGAATAAAGATAGAAAAAAAACAAGAGAAAAAAAAAATAAAATGTTTCGACTTCATGGCGCCCTCCGGAGTTGCCATTTAGACATTCATCTTTCTCTGGAGGTTCACAGTAGTGACTTAATCAATAAAAAAAAATTTCTGTCATAGTCAACCACAATTATTGAGGGGGAATAAAAATATTATTCTATAATTCATTTCTTCTTTAATCAGTTTGTCTATAATTTTTGAATATTCTAATTCTCATTTAAATTTTTCTTTTATTCTTGCCCCAACATTTTAAAAAGAAAAACATAAAGAAAGGTTCAACTCAATCTCACCCTCTGACATATCAGAGTCAGATCTCTTTTTTCTTAAACCACTAAAGCCTAGAGCCGTATAAAACCGAAGTACACTATATTCTCAACCATGCTTGGAATCTAAATAGTTTGTTCACGAAAAGTTCCATTCTGTGGTTACTCCACAATGTGACAATTGACAACGTTGTCGAATCAACTTTTGTTTCAGAATTTGTGAGCTTTCCAGCAGGGAAAAGCTAATAAATAAAATGACCACGAAAAGACTCATGATTCTCTACGGACGATTATTTTCGACATCGAAAGGTCTAGCAGAAAACAAAAGAAATTTTCTCAAAAGACTTTGAAATCTCACAAGGCTTTTACTTGTGTCACGCTTTGTATCTCCAACCAACAGTGTTGTCCAGAAGCTAGCAATTTAAACCTAGAGTATTACAATTGTTTCCTTCAAAAGACATTTATAATTTTTATAATAAACTTTAAACATTATATCAGTAGTTGAAGATTACAAATAGACAATAAAAATCCTATCATAAAACTTTTATAGTTACCTAATACTTTCAATTGTTACTTCATTTTTATTGGTTTTTCAAAATAAAGTCCTTCCTAATATTGACTTATACTACTGTGCTCTACTGCTTTAGTGCTGTATTCAGAAATATTGATTTATTAATAATAGAAATTTTTTAACAGATATTATATAGATTAAGATATAAATTTAACTACTTCGAATGAGTTTTGTCTTCAGTTGAAATTCTGAAGTAGACTCGAGCATTAAAGATAGAGCTGCGAAGTCTCCAAGGTTCAAGTTAGTGAATCTCCAAACTACTTGGTAGAAAATACTTCATTGTTCAGGTTCTCATTATTTCTATAAAGGACTGGTTTCTATTATTGTTTATGAACGATTTCATTCCAACTTCCACATTAAAAAATAAATAGTTATAAAATTGATAACTAACCTTGTTACTCGATCAAAAATGATTAATC